TTTAATATCCAAGTTAATGTTACAGTGGCATAATTTATTGTATTTAAGAAACAAAAATGAAAGGTTAAAAACGGACATTTTGATATGTTAAACAAAAAATATATATGAAACTAAAAAAAAAAAAAAAAAAAAAAAAAAACAAACAAATTTTCATAGACTTTTGTTAAATTTAAAGCAAAATAATATAAATGAAAACGTTTAATTTAAAAAACACAATCACGTCACAAATTTTGAAATAAGGCGAAAGAAATTCTTTTGTTATGAAAATCGTTATATAAATTACACACTTAAAACTTTTTATGACTATTGTAGCGATCAGGATGTGAAGAGAAAGCCAAACGAAATTGATAAGCGGAAATATGACCAAAACAAGTATCGCCTGAAGAAGATTTTGATAAAAGGAAATCGTGAATTATAATCTATTTTTGTTGTTGCTGCAGGATAATAGCAACATTTAGTATGTATGTAGATGAATGTAATATAAATTTTCACTTTTGCGTAATAATTTCGTCTTGTTTTTTCTTTCTTTTCGTATAAACTATGTTTTAGTTCTGCGTTAAATGTACACAATGCGCGTCCTGTATTAGCTGAGTTAATTTCTGTGAAAATGTTGGAATGTCCTGTTTGCGAAGGAAAAGAAGAAATAAAAGAGAAAATTCGTTTGTATTATGTATCAACTGAAAATAAAAGAGAAGAATAATAAAGAATCCTTACCTTTGTTAAGCAAATTTCATCAATCAATTTCATATTGATCGGTAAGCCAGCTTGGGCAAAACTTTCCCGCATTTTTATATTATCGACCTGAGACATATTAAACAAGGTATTCGCTAATAAGTCGAAGTGTAACGCTCCCTCTCCTGTCAGCAGCACTGAGATTAGTGCACTTTGAAATGAGGCCAATAAATTATCCTTAAATAACGGACGTTGATATAAACGCCAGCGATCATGCACACTTTGCAATGAATTTAATACAATGCGAACAATGTTTGGATCATTGCCGGAAATTAAAATCTGACCGTAAGCATTCATTATGGCCATGAAATGTTCAGGGTGTAAATTTTCGGTAGTACTAGTTATGGCACCATTGCTACCGTTCATAGCATTTTGAAACGAAGAAATTCCATTCGGTTGCACATAAAATTTATAAAAGTACTGCCATTTATAATTTAAAATACTAAAAATGTGAATATGATTATAAAAGTAAGTCACGCTAAACGTATCAAATATCATTTGTATACCTTACCTATCAAAGAGATCGTAGACCGCACTCGTTATATCACCGCTATACTTTATATTGTCGTCTTGCTGCAGAAGGGGAATAATGTAGGCGAAGGTGAAATCTAATATGGATGGTATCATAGTCAACGAAGCACTGCCGGGATGCTTGACAATTAATTGAAACATTTGCAAAATTTTTTCGATAACCGCTGCAGTACTTATACTCAATTGGTCCCTGCAACATACCAACATACAACATGTTAGAAGAAATAAAAATCAGAAACAAAAAAAAAAGAAAAATTGAATGTTTGACTTTGACTACTTTTGATGTGTGTATGTGAAATATATGAGAGCATACAACTTACCTACTATTCACTGTAATGAATAAGTTTATCATCTCTTTGATAAACTGTGTTCCTAACTGAGTTTGCAATGTATGTAATACGCTTAAACTGAAATCTGCTACTGTTGTCGCTATAATGTTACTACTTTGGCCGAAAGTGTTGTAAATCATCAAAGCTTTAGTAATAATTGGCTGTAAAGGAGAGGAGTACAGTTTACATCATAATATTTATATAAATGCCGTTGGATGTACCTTGAATGCAGTGGATAGTAAATCCTTGGAAGTGTTTGGAGAACTTTTGAAATATTCAATAACCAAACTGAATGTTGTTAGCAAATTTAACGACATTGATGATATTTTAGATTCTGCTATGATGGCACTGTTAATGGTATTTAAATCTAATTGTAGAAAACTTCGAGCTAGGCTATCTACATATTCGCGCAGCATTATCGAGCGATGTTCGTAATCCTGTCCCCGTTCATCGACATTCTTCCAGGGCAATATCAAATAGCTTACAATACTAATGTATATATTAGCCTGTACCTGGCTTGGTAAATGCGAGAGGCGAGGGCCCGACTGCATAATATTGATAATTGCTGGAAATTCTAAAAGGCTCTTCGGACGTATTACAGACGATATACATAATAATAGCTGACTGGCAGCCATTTGGATTATTGTGCAGCCTCGCAATAAATTATTGGTTTGAAAAATGTTGGTCAACGCCTCGAAAATTGTCACGAGCTTTTGATCTGCTTTCAAGATATTCGATAAAGGCAAAATACTTCGTATGGCCATTAAAACTTGGGCGTATCTATAAAATATAACCTAAATTAATAAATTTGAAAATGAGCTTGCCTACGATGTATTGGAAGGGAAATTTACAAATAATCAAAATCAGTCTGGAATATTGATTTATCCACATCGAAGACGGTTAATTTGTTGCTGATTAAAAATTTCAAGACAGTCCATAAATTTTCAGCGAATTCGTTTAGGTGGTAGTTAATTTCATTGCCTAATTCTGAATTATTGTTCTCCAGTAGCGGAATAATCCGTACAACTGCTTGGCATATGGTCGTGAAATCTCTTAAATTTTCCGGAAGGCTTTGCGATTTCATTTTTCGTAAAAAGTCAAACGTTTTACCGCAATCGACATCATTTTCCAGCGACCGTAAATACATATAAGGTCGCCCCCAATGGCTAAACACTAAAGCGAATACCTCGCTTGAACGTGGTTCAGCAATTAATGCAATGCATTCAATGCACTGCGTTATATACTGTTGCCATTCAGTTTGGGTCTAAGAAAATAGAAATGAATTTTAAAATTTTGGCACGAAACGACACCATTTAACATCCCTACATTATCTTCCATTAGCTCATTGTCTAACAACTCCAATTCAGTCTTATTATATTCGAATTGTGTGCGACGCATAATTTCAGGCACCAGCAGTTGCACAATTTCATAAAAGCGATTTAATTTATTATGCGCACTTATGCCTTTAATGATAGGCGTCCATATTTCTAATTTCTCTGTAAAATCGTAGGCTCCGTTTCCTAAAAACAATAAAATTCATTTTGGAAATTAACTTTCGTAATAAAACTAGAAACAAATACTTACTGTGGATTGTCCAGCAGTACAAGGAATTTAGAAATGCTTCTAGAACCTCGAGATCGTCCAGCATTCTGGGCCAGTATTTAATGGCATACAAGCGTAACAATTCTCTAAATTTATCTGTGTACATTTCGTCATGCTGTTTATTAGAGCTATGATATTGATCCAATAAGCCGTTCACGCCTGACATTAAAATGTTCGAGAATGGTAAGGGCTTTTGCAAATACAGCAGTTCATTTAATACTGAAAGACCATTCAGAGAAATATCTTGACGATTGGAACGCCACTGTGACAAATCCAAAATGCTCATAAAAAAGTATTCCGAGAGCAGATCAGTATTCATCCAAGAAACCAAATGTTGCACACAAGATAAGAACTCCAAAATGGAGTTACTAATGGAGATTAAAGAAAAATAAAGTGTTAAGAGACAAAAATTCCATCGCAAATTAAGTTACAGTTTTCTACCCACCACCACCGGGAAAAGGCGGTAAATCAATTTATGTCTTTCGTTTGCAGTACATAACAAAACGCATAAGGTATATGTTTGATCAGAGCCGAGACAGGTTCTCAGTTTACTTAAGAATGTCTATCTCCCCGTTCCTTCGTACATATAATATACTTGGTTGGAATTCCCAAAAAGCGCAAATATTTAGTCAGTAGCAACTGACATCTTTTCACGTTTACGTTTTAAATAATATTTAAAAAGTAGTATTAATTACCTAGACATAGTTAAGTGGAAAATTATGTTTTCACTCATGTATTTATCCATGGTAGTGGGTATGCAAAATTCGCCCTTAGACGAATTTTATAATTTTCACGTTGATTTTTACCTTAATTGATTGTCATTGGGCAGCGAGGTTATTAGATTATAATCCATGAGCGTACTGGGTATGGAATGGATATCTTTACCATTGATATGACACACAGCGATTAGTAAGTATTTGGTTAGTAAATCCGTAACTTCGGGTAAACATATAGAAACGCTTAAACAACATTTAATATTAAGTTTATTTATTGTTAACATTGTAACACAGACAGGCAAAAAGCATTAAATAGCATTTTAAGGCACTCACCAGGAATGAAAGTATTGCTTACGATCTGTACTGACATCTTCACGACTGCTAACTACCTCCTCAGACGTTGTACGCAGTAAGCAAATGCCTAATGAAAAATTGGTTTTCGTAAGAGCTATGCAATGCGCCAAATAGTTTGGATCTTCGTCGGGAAATTGGCGTTTTCCCAATAAAGCTATTAACTGAGCGTAAGTGTCGCGCTGGCGTTTTGCTGATGCGCAAGCTAAGTTAGCATATGTGTGCCATAACGTTTCACGTAGAAGTGCCCTATCTGAGCTGCCCAATTGCATCCAACGGCGCGTTATGGTGTGATCCAAAGTAGACGTAGCAAAAAACCATAAAAAGTGATTCTGTTCAAAGGTCGTAGCATTGCTCACCGCACTAAGGCAGGTTTTCCAGGATTCCGATTGATTTTTAAATGCTAACAACTCAACCTCTATTTCGCGTTTACGCGCGTTAGGTGTGGTCGGTGTATAGAATTCATGTAACAACGACTCAACCACCGCAAACGGGGAAGACTGTTTTGCCGAAAAAAACAAAAAGAAAACAATAATCATAGCAACAATAACAATAGAAAGTCATATATGAAAGAATAACGATAAACCAGAACTTTTAGGAAAATTACTCACCATTTCTGTTTCAGTGTTATCACCACCACCGGGAGCTACCAGAAAACTTGTCTTTTATGTATTTTAATATCGTTTCTCTCCCCTTTTCCTTTCTTTTCTGTTTTTCAATTTGAACCACCACTAAAAAAAAAAATTGCGTTGGACAACAATTGTTATCTTTTTAAGTTTTCGGTCGCCCGATGCACACTTAACTTTCGCATTTGCTTAACAAATGTTAAGCTAATAAACAATTTGCAAGGTTTTTATTTCCTTAGTGAAATAAAGTAAATTTTAAATTTTATAAAAATCTTACAAAATATACGCTCTTTTCTAAATTTTTAATTTTATTAAAGAAACATAAAATAATGACAAACGAGAGTTTCGTTGTCAATAAAAATGAATACTTATACAATAACGTTAACGCCATCTATTGTTCACAATTGTTTTTTTCGTTTATATCAATTTTATTTAATATAAAATACATCACAACGAATCTGCGAATGTTGCTTTGCTAAATATCAGAAGAAGAAGAAGACATAAAACATATCTGTAATTATACAGCTAAAACACCTGATTCTTTAATGTACTCTTAAGCAAATAACAGCTTTTCTTTTATTATATTTCAGCAAGCCCGATTAAAGCATTTCATGTCGAATCATTTTTAGTATTCTTGTAATTCTGGTATTAATATATTCATGATAATAGATAGAAAAGCGTGCATAGTACAGAATTACAAATATATTATTATTATTATTATTATTATTATTTTAATTTTAGACTAATGAATTGAATTCTTAGAC